ACAAAAAAAGTTGGTTGCACAGTACAAAAGAACTGCAATACACTTGTTCTTCTAGCAACAGCAGCCATCCCTCATTATTTTCATGTCGTTTTCTTGGTTGAGCTCATGGTAATATCTGTATATACAATATCTGACAAATATTAGTAACTCCATGAAAACAAACATTTAAAATTCCAAGTAACAGGACTGGGGTTCAGGAAAATACGTGAAAGGAGAAATCATGTTGCCAAATATTTATCTCAGTAAGAATTACATGCAAATATATATTTTTTTGGTCTTGATTCATAATGTTCCATTTCCAAATTATTTCTGTTTTTCTCCAACAAATATTGTACCTCAGTTTCAAAATCTTTCTGTGGTACCCTTTTTTTTTATTTTTTTCTGCACGTAAAACCTCAGAAAAACACACTTTTCTGAGCATCCACCACAGTAAAAGATATTTTAAGGACATTTAAGTTCAGTTCTCTGCTTCTGGGTCACTACGCTCATACCCAGAAAGCAAAGTCTGTTGTTGCCTTCCATGCAGTGTTTCCCTCAGAGCATTGTGGTTTCTGTACATGGGCCGAATGCCAAAGGTTGGTACCTCAGCAGCAAAAATGGAGCAACTTGCCACCCGACTTTTGGGAGGAGGGATGTGTCACAGCACCAGTGTGGCTTTGATCATTTCCTTTTATTTTGCTCTTTTTAATTGCTTTTGATAATGTCTCTGTGTTTTTCAAAGCTTGGAGTCCAGTGATCATCCCCTTGTGCCCGTTCTGCAGCTGAGAGCATTGCTCTGAGCAAAGGATGCCAGTGGGCTCTGTGAGGGACACGGGACCTGAGAGTGGAAATTTGCTTTAAACTGCAGCTGAACACTCTGAAATCACCTCAGCTGACAGCCATGGGGGTGCCAACAGTGTGCATTTTAGCAGTTCCTCGTCCTCTTCCTAGATTGCCATAAAAGGGACCTTGTAATCCACATGTATTTGTATAGGAAATTTGTATATATATATATACATACATATATACGTAATATCCCTTTTCCGTATGTTTCTTGCTTGGTTTAAATTGAAGGACACACATGGGCTTCTCTTTTCAGCTGAAATTATTAGGTTGACAAGATTTTCGCGTCTTTCTGTTCTCCACATTTTATTGTAACTGGGAATACAGGAATTTATGTCATATAAATGCTTTTTGTTTGTTTTGTTTTAGCACGGATTACATTCACATGGCTGGGGAAGTACCAGCTCACAGTCCTTGAGGAGGGGAGGTACACATACATTGTGTTTTCTAATCCTCTCACTCCTTGCCCTAAAATGTGTGTTGCATGATCATGTGCTATTAAACAACTGGTATTTTCCATCCTCAGATGTGTACCCACGGCTAGTAAAATAATCTCTTTATGCCTCTCATATCCCATAATATTATTGTGGTAAGTATTTGGAATTAAACACCGGGATATCACTTTCAACATTTTCAGTTGATTCAGAATCCTCATTGTAAGCTGTTATATAGTAGTTTTTTATATATTACTTATTATAATAGTGGAACTATTCCAGTAGGACATCAAGCCTACAGCTTATAAGAAATTATATGGATACCTGTGACAGAGTAATATATGGAAACCTGTCATATTGAGAGGAAGGACTTGATAGATCTCTTACTGTATTTCTGTGTTAATGAAACTATACAGGATATTTTCTACCGAAGATGCTAAAGTTTGTTGAAAGACAGTGAATGGTAACTATTTTAACCTTGGTTCCACTTACGAGGATTCTAAATATGACAATTATCTTGTGATATTTTAAACAGATTTTGCTGTCACTGTAAGTTGATATTCTTCAGCATTGTTTTTTCAGTGAAACACTTTTTTTTTTTTTAATAATTAAATGTCTTCACTCCTCATGCCTGAGGTTTCATGATTTTTTTTCCTGAATAGCTGAATTGTATCATTTATGTAGTCAAGCTGTTAGATACGATCAAACTTGTCACAGTGCAGTCTTTCTCAAAACTCATAACTGGGGGAGATGGGGAATGGATACATAAACATCAAAACCAACGAGTCACATATTGTCTGAGGTATTTAGGAGCAGCAGCTCTTGGCTGGAGACTGGACAGGGGTGTGGATTTATTGAAAGCAGTATCGGGATTCTTATTGGCTTTGCTGCAGTTGTGGTCTCACCTCTTATGTCAGTGGTTTAATAAGTGATATGAGACTCACAGGATTTAAGGAGAAGGTCTGAGCATAAAATCGATCATGTGTGCAAACATATATTCTGTTTGGATATGCACTGATATACATTCAGCTGTACAGCTTAATGAAAAGTAACTCATTAAATTGTGGGTTAATCGAACCTGTAAAATTACAGCTTTCATATGTCTAATACATAAGGGGATATCTTTGCTCTAATGCCATGAGATCATCTGGTACATGTGCCTCTCTTTTTCAAACCCTGGCTGATAAAGACTGTCTTTTCTCTGTTACACATCACATTTACTCCTCTGAGATTAGCTTTAGGGATATGGATTTGTGGAAAGACTTGTAAAATGAGTCTCTGAACTGACACTATGTATTACAATTTTCAGAACACAGTTCTGAAGAGAAAACTGCCTTTTCAAAATTCAGCTTCTTTGTAATAGAGCGCTTTTCATGAGGACACGTTCTTACACCTGGATACAAATTTCAAGTGCAAATTAGAGGGGCAAGTGTTCATATTCCTGAGTGCTATTTATCTTACAGCTGTAGAAATTACAGTTGTGGCTGATAATATTGCCATTATTCCTTAATGCCATAAAGAAAGAGTTTTGTTGCTTTCCTAAAGCAAGAGAAATACGTATTTTTTGAAAGTAAATAAGATTAGTTCTTCACACGTATGCTCTTCAGTATTAGTATCAATAATTACAAGATGTCCATCAGTGCAACCTGCTCATCCTAAATTTCTTTTCAAAGCTTGTTGTTTAACAAAGTCTAAATGTCCAGTTTTGTGCTAGGCAGACACATGAATATGGATACATATAAATAGATATATACAATAAGGCAGAATGTGTTCATTTGTAAACAGAACTTACCTATTTGTATGTCTTAGCAGCTTTTACTCTAACATTAAAAGATTATTTATGTAAGGCCTTTATCACTGTAGTATACCAGTGAATGATTTCTTGAGTTCTATCTAAAAATGTAAATAAACTCTGTACTTTAACCATGCTAACCAATACAATTTTTCTTTCATCACTAAGCAATGTATTTTTCCAAGTCCATTTGTTTGTATTCTGAAATTGGAAAAATCCCCTTATGCAGCATTCCCATGGTCAAATGTTTACAAGGGCATAAGGAATATAAAACAAAGGCAATTTTTAGGATTTTGTTAAGATTCACGTTTATCACAGTGAGGACAAAAATGCAAAAAGAAGCATTTTCTTATCTATTCCTGTTACATTAGAAAAGTTCATGCCCTGCTCTTAGCATTTTCCAACACAGCTGTAGAGTAGTTTAAAGCCTATTTTTTAAATAAGTGATGCTCAATTTGTCTTTGATGATCCGCATGATTCAGGTGAGATGGGAGCACGGTCGGGCCCTTATTTGCATAAAAATTAATCACAGAAAAATGTAAATTGATAAAATTTTGCCTGGCTTTTCCCCCCTATTCGGGAACCCATGGATGGCTCCCAGAAGCAATCATCTCAGTATGGTGCCGCGTTGGATGCTACACAAACGATCACATTTGTGTTGAATACTCACTCATTTAAATGTCAGCACTGATGGGGCGGTACATCACCAGGAGGAAAAAAAAAAAAAAGAAAAATAAATACACAGCAGCTGAAGACCATCAAATCCGTGGGCACTCTTCAGAGATATGTGATCTAATGTGAAAAAATTGTGGATTAATTATCCTTTTTTTCAGAACGGTAATTGTTTTAGTATCGCAGCAGAAAAAAAATCTCCAATTTATTTGGAATCAAACAAAAACCCAGTAATGTTAAATACATCATTACATCATTGTGTATATTAGAAGGCTACAATTAATTCCTGAGGCTCCTTTGGTCTCTAGAACTGCATAAAATGAAACAAAAGAACATTGCTATTAATTTTCGAACACACTCTGAACCTGCAAATAATCTACCCAGCAAAAATAAAATAACAAATCAAAATAAAAACTTTTTAGTTTTATCTGCCAAGTATTATTTTTATTTTTCTAAACTGCATGTTTGCATGACATTGCTGTCCTATAATTTTATCTCACAATCCTTAATGAATTTGTCATCCTTTTAAAGGAAGGAAATAATTTTCCTCATTTCATATATATGTAACTGGAGCAGAGGTGCCGTAGTAAAATTGCCAAAGAATTCACAGCACAGAATCCACCCCCTCTTCTAACTTTTATATCAGAGAGCTAAACTTGTGTCTGCAAGTTTTCTCCAAATTTTTATTTCTAACAGAGCTAAATCCAGCATAGAGAGAAGAAATAGTTTACACTTTTTTCACCTTTTTTTTTTTTTTTTTGCACCTTCTGGCTTTCAGAAGCAATGTCTAGAAAATTATAGCAACACAAGGACTTCTCTAATTTATAATCATCTCTAATAGGTCAGCCACAGTGCATTAGATCAGTGCAGGGGCTTGAATGCAGGGTTTCAGCACTGCAGTCTGAGCCTGAACTGAGAGGATATATTTTAAAAGCCGTTTGTTATGCCTGAATTGGAGAGCTTTGAATATTAGTATAATAAATGGTGTAGGTTAAATTTTTTTTCCTCTTTAAATTTGTTTTATTTAGAGGGGTCTGGCAGTAGTTGTGTATGAGATTTATCAGGGACATGGCCCGACTTTAATTCACATGCCTTGCCTTTCATGCCATCCACTGTGCCAGTACATTAAAAAAATTTATATAATGCATGTTAAAAGAACCACCTTATCATCATTTCACAGAACCACATCTGACTTTTTGCAACTGTATTAAATGCAGAGCAATGGTTCTACTTATAGATAGAATAACATATTTTATATTTTTTGACTTTTGTTGTGGAAGCCCATGGTTCAAATCCTGGCTGCACTGAAATCAAGGAGAGTTTTGTCAGTGGTTTCAGCTCAGCAAGAATTTTGGTAAGGGTATATATTATTTATTTTCTGAAAATGTAAGGTAGTTGTAGTTTTGTGTGTGACTGATTGTATTTATCTACTGTAAAGGATACTGTGTGGGAAGAGAATATATGGTTGATGAAGGGAGCTTGTAGAGTGTCTGAGAGCACAGGTGAGAATGTGGACTTAGTGCCTTCTGCTGTTGTTTGAGGGGGTTGTAGGGATTGTATGGATGGGAATTTAACCCCTTACTGGAGGACTGGGTTATTTTTGAGACTACAATCCTTTACTTCGTTCATGTTTATAGCTGCCAGTGCTGGCACTGTTGCTGTATTCTTATTTCTCATGTATTTCACTTGAGCCTTCAGACTGTTTTTCTCCCTGCCGGTCTATTGGACACGCAGATCCTTCTCTTTGATCTCATTCCTACACATTACCTAATCATGTTTCTGTCTCATATTATATTGCCTGCTCTTATTTAACTCTTAAATATTGATTGATATCAACAAGTGGTTACGTATATCAACTGGAAATGACCTGCAAGAAGAAGCAGTTGAGTCTGTATGCAGCATGAAGGAATGAATGGGTGTGTGTGGAGGAAACTGTGACTGGGTGCAGGAAGGTGGCTGTGTGAGAAGCATGGGGTTAGCACATCAAGTGCTACACAGAGTCTACTAGAGATCTGTACCCCAAACACCTGCTTGGGGTTCTGTGTGCTGGGACTGTTTTCCAAACTCTGCCAGCTCTCACTGATGCCTCCTTTCAGCCTTGCAGGAGCAGGTTCATCATCAGCACTCTGAGCTGCCTCCCCACCCCAGCCTTACAAAAGGAAAACAGAAACCATGCACAAGGCTTTTCTGCCTTCCACAGGAAGCTGGGAATGCCCTGGATCCCCAGTTAGATGCTTCAGGAACTTCAGTACCATTCAGGGCACTGTTCTGGATGCCACACGGTCACCTGCAGACCTACAACCTAATGCAGTGTCTCTCCCTCAGCTCTCTTGACTTCTCTGGTGGAGGTTCACTGCTGGCTATGGAAAAAGTAAAAGGAAAATCTCAAATGACCTTCCCTAAAGGTTTTCTTTTTAGGTAAGAGTTAAAGGATTCTTTTTGCTTTCCTTCTCCCTCAATCTCTGCATGTAGAGTCCAGAATACTTTACTTGCAGAGATATTTAAGAAACAGCATAATACCAGATATGTGGAAAATACTACGCCCTGCTAGTGGAAGGGAAGTATTACTTTTCATCAGATTTCATGAAATGACTATTTTAGTAAATATTAAACGTAACATATGTAATTTCAACAAATGGGTTTAATTTAGCTTGGGTTTCCTAAGATAAAATTTGTCTTTTCAAGCCTAAAAGAGATCAGATTTTCCAGAGCACCTATAGTTCCTGCTGACTTCTAGGCTCCTCACTGAAGAGACTTTGAAAATCTGATTATTCTTCTCTTACAGAATTCAGTGTGCAACCTTAGATAGCAAAGTTTGAAAACTTTAGTCTGTATTAAACACAAAGAAACTAAAGACAAAAAAAGAAAAAAATGGATATTGCCGCGTTCAAGCTGAAAAACTGCAGAAAAGCATTTGTCCTTGGCAATAACAAAGTCCTAATCTGCTAAATCTTTCATACATGTTTATTAAAGACATGTTCTTTGGGCTACTTTGGATTCACCAAAGTAATTATTATATACAGTGTCATATTCAAATTATACACTACACTGCAGCTTGATTCATTACAGTGCTAGAAAGAATATAATTGTTTCTCTATAGAAGATGGAAGAGTTCCTTTTTGTACCTTAAAAGCTTCAATTTTTTAAACCTTTATTTCATGTCTGACTTCCCACACATGAAGAAATTCATGTTATTGTCCCTATGTAAGTGGAGCCTTCTTAGAAAATATGGAAGAGAAGCTCAGGGGTTTTTTTTAAAGTAGTTATTTCATAGCTGGCTTTAAGAGTTCAGCCTTCCAAAGAGTTATATCTATGTCTTATTCAGAGTGCTTAAGCTCAAATTACCAAGGGGGAAAATGATGCTCTGAAATTCATTCTGCTTTCAGCAAAATCAGGTCCAAAGCACGTGGTTACCCTGATACTCTTCGTATCCCATCATGGACCCTTTGATGGTCTTTCATCCCCCTTTTCCCCTGGTTGGTGTGAATATACATACCTGGCATGGTTGGTGGAAGTTTATTATCCTCAGGAAGACAGGTTGCATGTAATTACCTCCTCCTCTTGGAAAAGGAAGTAAAGGAAGGTACTTTGAGTGCATCAGGCACAGCCATAATTCAGAAACAAGCTGAAAAAAGGACAAACACAAGCTACAAGGTCCAACAGGAACTCTGGCAATGCAAAATCACTGAGAATTATAAATACACTGTAGTTGCTTGAATACAAGAAACCACTCAGTGTAGGTGGGTGGCTGAATAGAGGTATCCATCTGTTTCTCCCAAACTCCTCAGTCTGTAACACTGTATTCAAGTTTTCTTAGTGATAAGTCTAATTGCATTAAATTTGAAAATACATGAATGAGCCAATGAAAAAAAACAGAAGTAAGAAAAAAGCTAGATTTTATTTTATTGTTGTTCTTGTTCATTTACCAGGAACTGAAGGCTGAAATAAACTGGTGGCAAAATACTCTAGGAAGGACATTTTGGATTTTTTACGGTATGAATCACAAACTATCAACACAAATTCTCCATGCCCTGACTGAGACCTTCAGAAGTCCTTTTTGGTCCATTTCATACAATCAGGTATGCTTGGGTATTTGTTTTTCAGGATAAATGTCAGTAGTGACAATATGTCTTAAAGACAACAACAGCAACAAAAACACATTCAAACTTGTAGGAGCCTGCTCACTTCCAAAATAGCCAGAAAAACTCATAATCCTGATTAAACCATGAGTACTTAGATGGATTCAGATGGAAGACCATATACATTGCAGAAGTTCCTTACTTCCAGCTGTAAATTATATTAATTTTGGTGAATGATTACGAGGGAGGTCAAAGTGTATTGACTAACCTCAGTCACTGACTTTCTGACCCTCAGGCAGCCCACCCAACTCTTTTACCCCTCACACTAGGCAAGAAAGCTGTAGGACAGCTGCACACCACAGCCTCATGTTCTCTGAGAACTGCTGTCTTGGTTGCTTGAGAAACAACCCTGTGTTTTCTTAGTTTGGATGTGCTCTGTTGTCATATAAATCAGCAAATTTTAGTACATTTACTTCTTAGAGATAACTGGGCACTTGGCCTCAGACAGGTGAAGGCAATTCAGCTTTGTCCTGTTAAAGTCAGGAACAGCTTCTACCAGCTCTGTAGAAGCGCAGTAATCTGCAGTACTAATCCTTCTCTTTGCCTTTGAAAGAGGCAATAGTGCAAACAAACCCGAATAAATCCCCCCAGGCTGTATTAATTCCAGCCATTTTGTGATCCACATCAGCAGCCTGCTGGTGAAATTTGCCAAGTGCCTACCAGGGCTCTGCTGACTGGAGCAGATGTTTGCAGGAGGATCGTTTTGGATGCACCGTTCCAACGTGGCTGCATAGGCTGCAGTCAGCTACAGCTAGGTTCAGCCAAATTCGGGATTTGAAGTTTGATTGCCATTGGGAAATCAGCTCACACTCCAGTTCAGTGTGTTTAAATGACTTTTAAGTCAAAACAACGTCTCTGCCAGGAGGTCCCATCTTTCAGACGATTGGGAAACAGTGCACCAGCACAAGAACTCCAGCTGCTTTTGTCTTAAACAGCAGCCTAAATAAAAGGACTTTTACTATATGCCTGATTTTTAACTTTTTTAAAATTCAAACATGTCAGATTTACAGACTGTACTGTGTAGTTACTTTCTGCTAATTATGTTGTCTCACACTGATGCCATACACCTCCTTAAATCACCAGCCACTTCTTAAAATTTAACCTGAAATATCTGCACAGTGCTCTCCTGGCAGTAGTTTGGTTGCATGAAATTATCTCTCCCTGTTGGCTTTTCTCTTTCAGCATCCCTTAACTGTCCAAAACTAGTTCCTAGGAAGTCAAAAAAAGGGATGGGATGTGTGATATCCATCACTGTTCCCGACTGGTGTGTGAGAAGTCTCTCTAGCTGCTAATTGGGAAACAGTTCTGTGGTAAGGACAATTAAATACACCATGGTAGGATCGATATATTGACTTCATGTGGGGAAAGTAAACTAACACATATGGATTTTTTTCATTTGTTTGTTTATTTCCAGGAATTTCAAAAGAACTCTCAATTTCAAAGCATAGGTAAGGATTTTTCTAGTGTCTCAAATAAGAATATGATAAGAGCTACTGTTGCTAAATGAATTTCACATATAATAAGCCTGGAAATAAAATTCTGATACTTTGTTTATAGTTTGCCTTGAGTTTTGTGATTTACCTACACATACATGTGTGAGAAAGAGATTCAGGGAGACTTGCCAGCTACTCAAAGCATTAGTAGTTTTATTTCACTTTCTTTGAGATGGATACTAAAAAAAAAAAAAAAAATCAACCAAACAAACCCAAACACAAACAATTGCAACCCTTCAATCTCTAATAACCTGAATACACCAAATGAAATCTTGTTTGCTGGCAGTAACTGGTTCAGCGGAGAGAAAAATGTCTGTCAGGAAGCTTTGTGTGAATCACTGTCTCCATCTAGTGCTGCCTGCAAGGAATTGGACTGCTAAACCCTCGGTGGCAGGGCACACTGCAAACGTAAGAAATTCTGTAGCACAAAATTCTGTGATACCAAATTGTTTTGCATATATTCAGTCACTATATCAGTCATTAATTCGTTATAGTTTAAAATAGGTCAGCATTTCATTTGTAAGACACGAGGCTCATGAATTGGCTCTGAAAGTTCCCCAGGTGTGGAAATTTGCCACCCTCACAGGGTTTTCTGCAAAGACTTTCTGGTGTACATTCATTAATATGTTCATTAGTATTAGTTAATATGTTCTTCAATAATACCACAGAAAACTTGGCAGGAACTTCCCTGAACCACGAAGTTCAATGATTCCTAGTGAACGTCTGGTTTGAGAGTCTCTTTTTAGTGCTGTTAGGAACAGAAGAGACATAAAGACAAGGACTAATTTCCAACTGACAAAGTTTAAGTAAATCAGTGAGTGGCTGATACATTACGGGCAGTGCTCCGAGTCAGAGCAAGGAGGGCAATGCAGAACTTGGTTCAGGGAATTAAAACTCACAGGATTACACTACAACAGCTCCCTAACAGAAACAAAGATCATCTCTTTTTTTACAACACCTTTTACTCCAACACCAGCCTAACAAACAGTTGAAAATTCAGTGTTGTTCACATTAACTCCTCACTCAGACATGACAGAAAATGACTGTGAAATAGTGTTGAGTCCTGTGAATAAAGCATTTACAAAGCATAACTTCTTCTTAGGACATATTATTTTGCAGTGATTCCAGATCCAACAGAAATATGAAGACAAGCAGTGGCTCCAATCTGCAACGTTTTACACTTTTAAATGCTTGCTATGGATTTTTACTACAAATTTCAGTCTTGGTTCCATGTACTGAACCCAGCACAGGTAATTAGCTTGTCCCTTTTTAAGGAATTAGAGATGAATATAAGTGTGACTGATGGACTCGTGTGAATTTCTGTGCTTTGATACACACCCCAACAGACTCTATTTTTTAGCATAAGAGAGGAGTGGGAGCTGTTATATGATGTTATAGTGCTTTAAAAGGCTCAAAACCAGATTAAGCTTTTCATGATTTTTTGGTGGGCATATTGTAATTTTCTTTTTTTTTTCAATTGTGCAAGTTACAACAATCATCATAACTAATTTTAATCTAACTCACTGTTATCTCTTTGGATAATTTTAAACCCATGTTGTTTTCTGATTATGAACTGTAACTGATTTACCTAATCTTGCTCAAATAAGATAGTTACATCTCATCAGTTTTGTAGGACACTATATAAACTCATGTATCAAAAACTTAAATCAAGATTAAGATTACAGATTTTTTTATATGAGTTATAATAGATTAAGTCAAGATAAGAATAGTAATTAACTGGTTTTTTCTCATTTAATTCAGATTTGAGCATTGTTTGGATCTAATGTTACTGGTTATGATATAAAATATATGTGTGAAGGGTCGTATTAGGTACTTTCCTACATCTTCCACACAAAGATAAATATATAAAAACAATTAGCTATCAAGATGAGCATAAACTAATAATTGACATAATAGCTTCAGATAATTCAAGTAACTTGCAAGGTTCATTTAAATCTCTGAGTTTCACTGTACTGTGATGTGGACCCTTGGATTTCTCCAAGGCTGTCAGGGAATGACACATGGATCAGTCTTCATTTTGTCTGGGCTGAGGATGCAGCTGTTTAACCCTGCTGCAATTCTTGCTGGTCTCCTGGAATGAAACAACTCGGTCAGACAGCCTCATATTCCCCTTCCAGGGATGTGATGATAAATGCCACTTATTTTCCACAGTATGTTTGGGATAACAACCACAGGACTGTCCTCTAACCGTGTTTGTGACCACTGTGCTCCCTGTAGTAAATGTCTACACCATCAAGGTTTGGGCAGTCTCCAGCATCCCCACTCTTTAAAACCCCTCTCTGCCTTTCTGTCCATTGGAACCTAAGGCATATATATTAAAATATCCTCACAGAAGTCAGGGACTTCTGTTCCTTCCTGTGCACTTTGTCACTGAAGTTCTCCAATGTCCCTAAACCAAAAGTTGTAGCCTCCAGGTACCGTAGGATGTGTAAGGGAATAGGAATGAGTTACCTGCAGTTAAGTGTCACCAATTTGGCACACCAGGGACTTCTTAATTCATGACAACAGCATAGGCAAGAACAATTTCAAAGAAAACTCCAAGGAGTGTTTCAAAGAGCTTTCCAAATCACATCTTCATGAGTAGACTCCTCTCTAGAGAGAGAGAAAAAAAGTAATTTAATACTGCAGTTGGTGACCTGGGTCCTCGTCTTGGCCACCTGCACCAAAACAATGATGCTGAGCTGGAGGCTGCATGGACTGTTTTAGTCTTTAAAGATGTTTCTATGTCGATTCTCATTGATTTCAGTGGGTTATTCTTTAAAAGTCAAGCTATAAATCAATCAACTGAAGCACTTAATCCACACGATAAAGGTCAGTGTGCAGCATTCATAACCTCACGTGGATCACTTTCTTGTCCATCAGACTAGAGCCTGCAGTATGAGAATGTGCACTCTATATATTGCTATCAAGAACCACCAGAAATCTAATATGCTTGAATATAATAAGCTTGAATATATCTGCTGTATACAAAAAAATTGAAGGGTTTTATTTTGGTTGTCCTTCCACAGACAGATACTTTTTTGTTTCTGTAAAAATTTTATTTTTACATAGAGTCAATTCATGCTTGTTTGGCTCTAATGTTAGCAATGTTCAAACTGCTGAGGAAAATTGGACTACAGTCACTTTCAAATTCATTTACTTCAAGTGTTTTTTTCTGAGGATTAGATTTTATGTTCATTTGAAATGTTGACTTTCATTTCTTGCCAAAGTAGCAAATCTTTTCTGAATTTTGAAAGATATTTGATCAAATGCAATTAAAAATGAATAGGATAACTACATTCACACTTTTTCAATTATTTCTTTCTGCTTCCAGAAAAGATTTCTTTTACTCCTCCAGTTTCAGTTATTCTGACCTATAGCCAAGCGGGAAGTTAAAAACAAACAGAAAATGGAACAGAATGAAGTCTCATTCTGTTTTGCTAAGGAAAAACTAAAGAAATAAAAATATAACCACAAAAGTTCACTTCTTTTTTTATACCTAAGTTGTACAAAAACTCTGGCTGCTTCTTAGTAGAGTGCAGCATCTGTCAACTGTTGTGTTTGATCTGCACTGCTGAAATGTTCTTTTAGGGTGTTCTGGGAACATCCCTTGACTCCTTCATCCCATGTAAATACCATGGCAAGTCTAAGGGATCCTCTTGAGTTTTAGTTTCATATTCACTAGCAGAAAGTATTTTCATTGATGTTTTCTCAAGATCCCTTATCTCAGTTTGTCTTTTGTTTTAAACATGAGATGTTAAACTAACATGATAATTTGACTGTCAACCTGTTTATTCCTCTACCTCTTTCTAATACTTCATTTAAAAAGTTTGAATGTCTGGTATTACAGATAAATTATATTCTGATTTGAAGATCTTATTCCTAAGGATTTAACTGAAACTCTTCTACATCTAAGTTATATTTCAGTGAAGAAAAGCGGGACTCTTCAAACCCGTAGAATTTCAGTAAAACTCATGGAACCCTCTCTATTAATTAGAAATACATATCTCAAAGAAAAATATGCCTCAACTTCAGCTTTGATTCCAGGGGTTTCAAAGTGATCCAGGGTGAGTAACTGAGGTACATCTAACATTCAATGAACTTTCATCAACCTGAGATCTATGTAGCAAAGAATCTGAAGCAAAAGTTTAATCTACTGAATCTGCCTGTAGATGGTCAGTATAGCTGACATGATAAGACAACACTGGCAGAACAATCTGTTAAATCATAGAAGTAATAAATCAAATATAAATTTAGGCACATACATGGAATTGAGTATACTTTCATGAAGGTATCATTTCTATATTTGTGTATCTAAGAAGAGGGGGGCTTTTTTAAATAGGTACTGTAGTTCAAGTACACTGTGGTATTTTTAAGTTGTGGTTGGTGGTACTTCTAGCTGATAACACATACCAGTTATCATTTTATCTACCATACATTTTAATATTTACTACTTAACACTCACTTTAACATTTCCTATGCAACACAAGAACATTTATTTTAATGTGTTGTGTATTTTCCCATCTCAGTGGGCTGTAAAGTCGAGTAGCTACTTAAAGTGAAGCTCAAAGATCAAAGCTTGAAGGGTAGACCTAGATCAAAATGTGACACCTGTTTTTGCAAGTAAGTTCATGTTCATGTGATCAGCTGCAGAATCAGGGGGTTATTACACCTGATTGTTGTTCAGGTTATGGTCTTATCTACTTAATAATCATCTTCCATTGTAATTTTCTAACACTTAACTATATTTTCAGATGGGTGTGAGGGGAGAAGCATGAAATAAGCAATGAAACCTGGCCAGTGGACACATTCCAAAGCAGAGAATCCCTTGTTGAACAAAGTAACATGCATGTTGTGTCCATACTTCCAAATGGAGAATTTAATGAGGTAAATGCATCATAAGAAGTCGAATTTATGGTAATTTGTTTCATTTATGCTAAATCAGACAAAGCAGAGTAGGTTTAATTTGCTGTGCAGACATTTTGTGTGAAGGTTGCCATTTGAAAAAGAATAAATCAAAGCATTTTTTGATAATGAAAAATCACAGGAAATAAAATGAAGCTTTACAATTTGCTCTGTCGACCTCTAATGCTGAAACACCAAGTCTTCAGAGACTTATTTCCATGACATCATGGTACTGATTTAGCTTTTTAAAGAATCTTTTTCCCATTGTTTATTTCATCAATGTTCACCTGTAAATCAGATAAAGTCAACAAAAGGAGGCATTTTTTTGGCAGAGTATGAACTTAGGCCACTGATATCCTTCCATACCCCAACTTTATATGGGTTTTTTTGCAATAAACCCAGTAATCCTAAATTACAGCAACAGTGGTTTTATTGCCTGAAGAATATAGCTCCATTCTTAGTCACATTGACATTCTTGTTGCAATTGGCAATCAGTAATTACAACTTGAAGTGTTTTAGGGTGACAAAACTGGACTTCAAATGGCAAAATTTTACAACTGTATTAGATCTAAATGTGGTGGATTAACCTTGCTCAACAAAATAATTAATCAGGAGTTGAATCAAAAGTTGTCTGCTTCAGTAAGGGACTGCTAATGTCAGGCTGTGTAGTTTTAGTAGCCTTCACATCTATTGAAATAGAGGTAAAAAAATTAAATGAGAGAAAGGAAAGGGGACAGCAATAATTTATGTGTGCTCAACAGTCACTGAAGAAGGGGGGAAATGCCAGTCACACCAAAAACTGCTTAAAATAGCCGGGTGCATTTCTAATGGTGCTTTTCCAGCAGGGATTGTTGTACAGTCACCTCCGATCATAAAATTAGAAGGCAAAGTGTTCTGCAAGCCACTAAAACCCTAATTCTGAAAAGACTTAGTTATGCTTGATTTCTGCAAGCCAAGGGAACCATCACAATGGTAGTGATGTTTCAAAGGCGTTTGCTGTGCTTGCAGAATGAGGGTCACACATAAGATGCAACAGGATCCTGTGGAACACTTATTTTGAAACTTCAGATGGTCTTGCATGTTCATTGCTTCCAAGGTCGAGAGGCTTGAAATGTTTTCCTTTGTCAGCCTGTGTGTTTTTGTTTATGGGATGTCACTGCTCTCTATAAACATTTACAATGTACTTGTGCGAGGTTAATTTTAAATATACACATCTCTGCAAGATGCTAATAAGCCAAAGCAGAAATTGAGAAGGTTTGTTGAAGCAAATCTATCAAATTAAAGTAATGTTTTGCTCTCTCACTGAAAGCATTTTTACAAGCCACTTGAAGTACTGCTC